TTTTTTTTTTTTTTTTTTTTGCTCATCAGCTTACATTAGTTTTTGAGAATTTAATAGGTGGCTCAAGACACTCTTCTTCCAATGTGCAGCAGAGAAGCCAAAGGTTGGACACATCTGTTAGACCATTATTTTCTTCCTATTTGATATCCTTTGGTTTTTCCTTGCTTTTTTCTGGTAATTTCTTCTGATTTGTCTTACGGTGCACTAATTCTCTCTTAAGCTAAACTTCAGTTAAACCTTTACACTAAGTTCTTAATATTGGACAATATTTTTTAGTTCTAGAACTACTAGGTGGTTCTTTTTAAACTAAGGTGTATTACGTTGTGTGATTTCCAGTTCCTTGCTTAGGGTTTTAGAGTGGCTTTTACGTTCTTGAGCATGGTAAGCATCAACACTTTGAAGTCCATGTATTGTGGTCACACTCTGTCTTGTAATTACTCTGGTGAGCACCTGTGGGTCTGTTCATCTCTGTCTATCTGACGTCTGGTGTGCATAGGTCCCAGGTCGCCTTTTCTTGTCCTTCATGTGTCTGGTTATATTTTGTGCACTATATTTCAAATGCACATTTATTCGTACACATTTTCTCAGATACACGTGATGTTCTCCTTTTCCAAAGAGGATTTTCATTTGTTTTGCCATCTGACAGGACCTCTAGCAATACAAGGTCACCTTATTCAGGGTGAGGGCTGGAAATGTCCTGGGAAGTAACTGGACACCATGCTACAGGTCTGTCTGATCAGTCTGGGCTGGTTCCCTCCTTTCACATGTGTCTCTCCAGCTCAGCTATTTGGGTCCAGCCCTCAGCATGGCAGGGCTTACCAGGCTCCCACCTGTGATGAGCCATGAACTCCGACATCCTTCCCGTTGACAGCTTCAGGCCGTTGAAAGCCTTGCTTCACTGTTCTGCCTCCTCCTGTGGGTTGACCCATTTTCCCCAGGTGGAAGGAGCCCCAAAGGTGGAGCACGCCCCTCTGGATGTGTCTTCTCCTAGACCTGGCCCTGTGCTCTTTGCCATCTTGTTAGCTCTTTGAGACTTCTATGAAGATTTAATAATCATTTTTGTTCAGCTCTTTTTTTTCATTCATTCTCAACAGGAGGATTTGTCCAAATTACCTGGTCAGCCCTAGCACAAGGAGAATCTCTAAACCATTTTAAAAAGTGTGGGTCCTGGGCAGCACTTGTGGCTCAAGGAGTAGGGCCCCAGCCCCATATACCAGAGGTGGTGGGTTCAAACCTGGCCCTGGCCAAAAACTGCAAAAAAATAAAATAAAATAAATCAAAAAATAATAATAATAAAGAGTGCGGGTCCCTTATGCCCTCATCATGGTTACTTTATTCCAACTGAAGTCAGGCTTGGCTTCATAGAGTGTGACAGTTATTGGGTTTACCTGGCATTGATTTGAATCAAATTTAACTCCTATTTATTGAGCATACCCCGTATGACCTAGGTACATACACCATACCAGAATGTTTATTTTGCTTTCAAAAAGCCAATTATCCATGTAGCATACTGGTTAAGAGTATAAGTCCAAGAGTCCAGCAGCCAGGACCTGCCATCTGCAAACTGTGTCCCAGTCACTTACCTTTGCTGGGCTTCTTTCCTTGTTGGTAAATGGCAGTAATTATAAGAGAATCTCTTGATTGGACTGTTGATATTATACAAGAACAGTGCTAAGAATTAATAATCATTAACCATTATAATTATTATTCCCTGGTGTCTGGCAGGCACTCTGGTAGGCCCTGCAGATACGAAGGTAATAAGAGGAAACCCGATGACGCCCCCGGTCTGTCCGTGAGAAGGACAGTGACACAATGGCTGCAAAGGGTGGCAAGTGCTGCCGGGCTAGCAGCAAAGGAGGGCACTTCTGCTGGGGTCCCCAAGACACCAGGATCGGTGATAGACTAGGACGGCTCATGGTACTGAGTGTACAGGTGTAGCCATGACTCAGGTTTATTACAGTGAAAGGATTCACAGAAAATTCAGCAAAGGGAAAAGGCACATTGGTAAAATCTAGAGGGAAGCAGGCACAAGCTTCCGGAGTCCTTTCCCCACAAGATCACACAGAATGTGCTTAATTCTCCCTTAATTCTCGCAATGAGTTGTGATAGCTCAGGGAAGCAAGTCTGAGCTTAGGAGTCAAGGGTTTCTCTTGGGGTCAGTCGCATACCCAGCATGTACTGAGGTCCCAGCATCCAAGAGGAAGGGGGTGTTCAGCTATACCACATTGCACCCAGTCTGACCCTGGGGTCAGGGGGCCACAACTGAATTGCAGCACATGTGTGGAGAGCTCCTAGAAAGAGTGGGGGAGCCTGTGCACCAAGGAGCTGCAGCCAGGTGCCCGGTGGAGAGGCTGTGAGCTGCAGGGCAGACCCAGCACAATACAACCTCCACAGCCAGGGAGCTGTGGGCCCAGCACATGCCCAGGGTGGCCTAACCAAAGAGCTCTGGCAGCCAGGCAGGTTAGGCTGCATGATCCAGGGAAGCCTTCTGACAAGGGATAATTATGGGGTGGGAGGAGGTTTGCAGGGGGAGGAGGAGTCCATTCCTTCTCATGCCTGCAGAGTGATTGGAGATAGGCAAAGGCTTGAAAAAGCGTCTTCATGATGAAATGCACAGTGAGGTGCCATGACGTGTGAATGAACTCACACCAAAGCCACATTCCTGAGCACCCTACATCACTTGTAAATAGTGCAAGTGTAGAGGCTGAAGTGGAGAGAGACGCTGAGATCACAGGGGTGGCCGGGGGGAGGAACTGCAGGGGCACATGAAGGAGTCCAGCCCACCCTCAGGTTTGGGGTTTTAAACACAGAACAGTCAGAGTACGGGTTCACAGGTGTTCAGTATTATTTTATTATCTATCTGTGGTATGGAGGGTTTTTTCAAAATTTAAAGAATTACAGTTTTAGAAAGTGACTGGGGTTGGAGAGGTGGGATGAGGACAACAGAATGATGAGACAGGAGGCCGAACAGCTGGGGCCTGACTTGGGGCTACCAGGGGCACAGCTGGGGGATTTTACCTCTGAGGGGGATGGGGCTTCTGGGTTATCTCTCCATGCAGATGAGGAGACCCAGGTTAAGATCTGAGGTTCATACCAAAGTGTGCAGGGTTGACAGGGAGACGGAGAGACCTGTGCAGGTGGTAAAAATGATCTAGATGGTGGCCCAGGGAAGGCCCTATTGGTTTAGAGGAGACACCAGAGATGAAGAGTGGATTAAGAGCTCACTTGGTCCCCAGGACAGGGAACTTGGCTGGTGAGGGGAGAGGGCTCAAAGGTGGGAGGGGTGTGTGTGTGTGCAGGTGTGTATGAGTGTCTGTGCTCGTCTGTGTATATGTGTGTGTCTGTGTGTTCATAAGTATGTGTGCATTCTGTGTCTGTGCAGGTGTGTCCCTGTGTATGCTTGTCTGTGTGTGCCTGTGTGCGTGTGTGTCTGCATGTGTGTGTGTGTAAGCCTGTGTGTGCCTATGTGTGCCTGTGTGTGTGTGCCTGTCTGTGTGTGTACCTGTGTGTGTGTGTGTCTGCATGTGTGTGT